GCAAGATCGTCATGTGACATACCGTGAGATAGAGGCGTCTTTGGACATTAGTATGACTAGCATCAATAAAATATTGCATGAACATTTGAACGTAAAAAAAATTTGTTCGCGTTGGATCCCGCATAATCTGACAAACGCTCAAAAAAAGGCTTGTGTCGATTGGTGCAAGGAAATGTTGGAAAAATACGTTCAAGATACATCCAAGGCTGTGTATAACATCTACACAGGTGACGGATCCTGGATCTATGCATATGAGCCGGAAACAAAACAGCAATCAACTGTATGGGTCTTCCAAGACGAGGCAAAACCAACAAAAGTTGTTCGAGGAAGAAAAAAATGCTTTGAAAATTGGTTCAAACGCATACAAAAGTGTATTGATCATCATGGAGAATATTTTAAAAAACAATAAAACCAATTTCGATCCTACATATTTGTTTTTTCATTATTAGGCCAGAAATATAAATAGCAACCCTCGTACTTACATTTATTTGCCTGGAGAATCTTTTTTGTTAAAAAAAAATCATTTCTCAATTTAAATTTATTTCTCTAAAATAGGGCTTTTTTTTAATGGATTGCATCTGAAAAAGAAAGAAAGATAACATTTTGTTTAAAATGAATTTAAAAATACCTTAGAAATAATATACATTCATGTGCTTTTGAATATTTTTATATGTACGTCGAAAGGGAGGATCTAATAACCACTCGAATTTCTTATGTCGAGTGCGCTTTCTGCTAAGCAGAAGAAATTATCAGTGTTTGCGACAAAGGGAATTGTGAGGGCGATAAAAACCTTTTCCAGGTGCAAGTCTTACTAGATGCATTAAACGAAAGTTTAGAAATTGATGATAGTTGCGATGGAAGTTTTGCCCAAACCGAGGGCAATGAGAATGAAATCTCCCCGTTTGATGCAAATAGTGCAGCGTATTTTTTTGATAGCTATCTAGCTAAAAAAGCTTTGAAAAAATTTATTTGTGAATAATGTAAAAAAATGCATGTACAAAACTCATTGTATATTTCACCACCAACAACTCAGTCAGTCAAAGTCAGAAAACCCAGGAGCACCAGTCTGCAGATGCTCGGAGGCCATTTCTACTCTGCCAGCTTAACGCAGCGCAACATAGTTGACGTGGGACCAGTTTCATTGCGGGAGTGAAATACTCCCCGCGTCAACTACCTATAACCTCAGCCTCCTCCAGAGGAGGAGGATTAGGCCATCTGGACTAGCTTCCAGGAAACGACTGAAAAACATACGACGAAAAGAACAATTTTCAGCTCCTCCTACAGACTTATTTACACCCTATGAATACTTTAAACTTTTCTGTGATGACGAAATAATCGAAAATTTTGTCAATCAAACAATTAACAGAAGACAGCTAACTCCATAAATACAAATAAGGCTGATTCTAGGTACTAATTTTATGATTGGACTCGTAACTATACCTGCATACAGTCATTACCGGAGTGATTCCACAAGATTTCCCTTGATAGCAGACAGTATGTCTCGCAATAGATTCCAACTTTTGAGGCAATATCTGCAAGTCAACAATAACGATACAAATATATGGTCAGCCTGAACATGACAGATTTCATAAAATTAAACCTCTTTTTCGTGAGAATTTAAAAAAATTGGATAAAAAAGAACATCTGAGCATTGATGAATTTATTATACCATTCAAAGGAAGGAGCAGACTAAAACAGTACAACAAAATCAAGCCTCATAAGTGGGGTATAAAAGTGTCTGGTTTGTGTGGTGTGAGTGGCATGCTGTATGACCTCGAAATCTACACTGGAAAAGACACACTGCAAGACAAAACAAAACTTGGAATCAGTGGTGACATTGTTGTGCCCATTTTTAAAACCTTATTTATAGCATGTTGAATTTGGCGCTATATAGTGCGCACATGCGAAGCTCTACACGTGATGCGAAAATCATGCACAAATAGTCTGCAGTCAACTGTTGGTGGTAAGCAAAATATTTCATTAATTTTAATAAGGAACAGTGTTACACTTATGACGCTGCCCCGTGGAACTCCTTCCTGCTCGAAAATAACAGAAATGACTGGGTCTAATAAAACTTGAAAAGTTCGGTCTGTTAGAAAATTTTGAATAAAATAAAACATATTACCGGTTATATTGTACATGATGAGATCTTTCAAAATACCGTGCTTCCAAGCGCGATCGTAAGCCTTTTCCATGTCGAAAAAGACAGCCACTAAATGTTGGCGCTTTAAAAAGGCTTCTCGTATTTCTGTTTTAAGTATGAGTATATTATCTATTGTTGAGTGACATCTTCTAAAACCACTTTGTCCGCGAGATAATATGTTACGAAATTCGTGTACATGTACTAATCTATTATTTACGATTCGTTCAAGTAGTTTGCACACACAACTGATTAGAGCAATAGGTCGTTAATTGGTTGGGTTTTTTTGTGTTCTTGCCGGGTTTGGGAATTGGTATGACATATGATCTTCGCCATGCTGTAGGAAACACTTTTTTTGTCCAGATGTAGTTGAATAGCTGCAATATAGTCTCGAGGTGGGCTTCTGTTTAATGTTTAAACATGCTGTTGTGAATTTTATCAGGTCCGGAAGAAGTATTCTTACACCGATTAATGGCTATTTTTAATTCGCTCATTGTCAATTCTGTCATATTCAATTGGTAATAGGGATGGTTTCAGAGAATATTTTTCTACTTTGGACCTGTAGTTTTTAAAAGCTTGAGAGTTATTTCGACTTGAAGCATTCGAAAAACGTTTGGCTTGAGTATTAGTTATTTCTTTTAAATCTGTTATTTTGTTGCTATTTATTTCTAAGTGTGGGATAGATAAATTAGAGTAATGTCCGGATATTGCTTAGATCTTTTTCCATATTCCTTAGTAAGGAGTATTAACATTGATTTCACTGACATAAGTTATCCAGGATTTTCTTTGGCTTTGACGACGGGTTCTACGGGCTAGAGCGCGAGCTTGTTCGAATTTTCAACTGTAGGAAATTTGCGAAAATTCCTCCAAACCTTTTTTTTGCGCTTTTCGAGTTAGGAGGCATTCATGATGCTACCAGGGCTTTGGTTGCTTAGGTAGTTCTGAGATGTATATGGCATAGATTTTTCAGCTACTGAGATAATTGCATTAGTTACGTATTGTGTTGCATGACCAATATTACTACTATTTATGAGTTTTGAATTTAATACAATAGATGATTGATAGTTGAGAGTAAGGCTAGGCGATTTACTCTCCAAAATATATAACACAAGCAGCATATTTAATTTCTGCTCGAATAGCTTTCGCAATTGTTTGATATGTGGGATAAAGGTCATTTAACTATCGAAAATGACACCAACAAACTTTGCGTGTGGCACAATTGGTACAGTTATGTTACGAATGGAGATAGCAAGATCATTATGAGGGATGAACTTTTAGGTGTAAGGGTGTGGCCAACGTGGTCGCACCAGCCTAAAATCTTGTTGATTTTCACCTTAACACGATACAAAATAAAACTTTTTAAACCAGTTCGCGTTGTGACTGGATAGTTGGAAAAATATGAAATCAACAACAGGTTGTCTGAATCTCACACTGCACTAAGAAATTCCAATTGTCTACTTGCGCCTTAATGGAACTCGCACGATACTGCTTAGTCAAAACAAACTTTCTTCCTGGAAAAATTCAATCTGATTCGCTGGAAGAAAGATTAGGTAAGTATAGGAAACTCTCAGGATCACACCAGAATATAATATCGGGGAAGAATTTGAAAATGAACATATTAAGGTTGGAAGGCATTTAGCACATTTATTTAAAATCACAAGATTTACTTTCGTATCTTTAATGATAATACCTGGGAAAATATTAACTAATCAACTAATTTGGAAACCAAATTAACAGTAAATAATGAACTTATGTTAAAATAGGCGTTTAGATCTTTACAAGCAATAACTGATTATGCATCCCGCTTTAGCTAAAAAAATTAATTCCTGTACTTTTAATTACTAAATAGTAATGCTACAAATTAGTGGATTACTAAATTTGATAGGAGTGGCCTGAAAAATCCTTACCCAGATGTTGTCTGTGTTGTAACGTTATTCAAGACTTATCACCAGATCTTGAAAAAGAATTAACGTTTGTAGAAAATCACCCGAAATTTGCAACGTCGATTACTATGAATATTCTTGTCAATGAAGAAATTTCCTTGGGTTTTGAGATATGTGAAAATGGGCACTGAAAACTATATACCCGAACATTTTGGGTATGCACTTATGTCTTTTTAAACAATTATTGTAAAAAGCAATAGCCTAGTTTAAAAGAAACTTCTACAACAAAATTTAAAACATTACAAAAGTAATCATACATTAAAAATCAATTTGCATTTATTATAATCTAATTTTTATTTTTAAATATTTTTTTTAAGGAACATTCGTTGACATTTTCACTAAGAGATAGTTTTCCATCACCCATAGAAATTTCTTTTCACTTATCCACAAATAAGTAGTTGAATCAGTAACAAATTACTACTATTTTCCATATTAAAATTTTAGGGGAGTAAAGCTATGATAGCTACAATATGAATTTGACTCTATTTTATAAAGTCTACCACTATATTATTCTGTACTTCATTATATTATATTTTGAGAGTTTTATTATTAATCGAAGTTCTTCCATAAAGATGGAGAAACTACTTATTAATAGAAATGGAATAAATGTTTATGGTATAACTTGGTTGTAACATAATTTAGATGTAACAAGCGAGTCGAATCACCTGTTCTAGGATGTAGTGGTCGAAAAAGACTACCTAGTATGAGTCACTCTCCTGATATGTGTTGGTTTCTAGTTCTAGGAGGTGATGGATGTGTAGATCAACATAAAGAGAGCCAGAGAATGCAGGTGATGGTACATGCAAAACTTTTGAAACATAAACGAACAATTTGACACTTATCCTTTGCTGGTTATTGTCCAACCAGGTACTAACCACTACCTTAACAATCACTTTTTCTTTCTATTTTAACTATTTCATTTTAAGCATAATACTCACTTTTGCTTTAAATCTTTAATCAAATGTAATAATTTTCAAAATTGTCCTAACTAACTTTAAATCACCAACTATTATTTGACTTTTTCCCATTGTTTTAATAACTACGCCTTTTAACTGAACTGAGCATGGGAATTAAAGACCACTAGGGAACCTCGGGATTGTGACACCCGTGTTTATCATAAAGAGATAAACCCCCTGAGGAATGAAATTCGAAGCTAGAAAAATCTCCAGCAGTTAGCCTTTGTCAATAACAATGAGCAATTAAAAAAAATTCTATTACTATACAGTAATTAAATATACAGGGCAAGGATCCAGCCTGCAAAATATTGAATAAAGGCTTATAAAAGAAATTATTGTGGTTGTCCAGACTATTTAAGAAAGAAAACATTTAAAATGAAGTAAAAAGTTTAGAGGTAGAAAGAGAATTTCAACCTTTAATGCAGAATTCAACTGAGAAAATAAAAGAATTTTACCAATTTTGAAAACTCTTAACGTAATGAACATAAAACTTATTTTACATATAAAAAAAATAATAACTTTTTAATTGTAAAATTTATCTCAAGGAAAAACAAATTTGTTAATTGTGATATAATTTCGTTTCTTCTGAAATTCACAACCAGCAAAACATTTGAAGGATAAAACAAAGTCCCCTTTTGAGACATACTCTTGCCCAAAATTTTTATTTGAATTAAAATCCTATGGCTTGTGGAAAATAAAACATGATTCATTTTTGTCTTTATCTTGTGTTTATTATGCACTCAAAGGTAGAGAACAATATCAGTTTTTCTCAATACAAATCTCTCAAAAATTTCCCATACACAAATTATACACAATCATATAAAGATTCAATGCAATCAAAAAATTGGACAGTGCATTCTTTGAGAAAAAAATTGAAATAAATTTAAGAAAGTTCATATTTAATATTACAATTTTTGGGGAAAAACTGCATAAGCCGAAGGGCACTCCAAATAGTAAAAGCAGAGAACCTAAAAAAAAGAAGAAAAAATTATATAGTATCAAAAATGTGGATACAAAAAAGAGGCTAAACACAATCATTCTCTCTTAGTATTTTTCATTTATAAAAAAATTTAGAGGCTAACCGGATAATCCGGCTCATTAGAAACTACAGACATCATTTGTGAGACTCATTGCAGTCATAGTGAGCCTTATACCATACCTGCTAAACTCCAGAGAAAAAAATATTACCTAGATTTTATACGGTATAAATTTGATTAAATTAAATAATTGATCATGATTGATTTATATTTATTGAAAAAATTAATAGAACATCATGTAAATAATAATCAATTTCTGGCAACTTTTTAAATAAAATATTACAAATTTAAGAATTGTTTAAGTTTACCTAATACATTACTAAGTTGAGTTGTCAATTGAAATTATTAAAAATGTGAGTGATTTTGTTTCTGTTATTCGTCCAAAATTAATATTCTATGTTGAGCATTATAGGCTAAATACCAAATATTTGTATGTTGCATCTGTAAATTAGTAGCATCAATTGTTTTCGAAAATTGAAGGAACTAGAAGGGGGAGACCAGCTACAAGATGGTTGGACAGTCTTGAGAAGGTCTTAAAATTGTTGAGAATAAACAGGTGGAAAAATCTAGCTCAAAGTCGCCCTGCCTGGAGGCAGCTAATTGAAAAAGTTTTGGCCTGCACTGTAGAGCTGACAAAAATTTTTTGAGTAGAACCTTGTATCAATTTACAATTTAAAAACTTCTTGAAAAGGTTTTTAGCAATTTTTTCAATAACAGAACACTATTTGCACAAATTCATGAAAGCAGGACCCTGGAATTCACAAATTATGAAGTTTTTTCACAATTTTACAAAAACAGGACCTTTCATAAAATGTCTGGACAGACTGGTTGTACATCTAATAAAACTAAGAAAATATGAATCTATAAAGAGGTGAATGGTGGAACTAGCAAGAGCTTATATTTATAAAAACCTTAAAAACTGCTCGACATATTATATGCACATACTTCCAATAACTTCCTCTGAATGCAATAATCAATTTTCATTTTATTATACATAGATCAGTGGTCTGTCCAGGCCAAATTTACTACCGTTTGGCGGTACTTTCACAAATTAAACTTCAGGAAAAACAGTAGTTTCACAAAATACTTTTACTTAATTTTTGTATCCTGTGAGAAACGATAAATCCATATTTTGTGCTGATTTAATATAATTTTAAATTTCCACAAATTATGTCTACACACAAGAAGGTTGAATTTTGAATATGTATATAAAATAATGATTAAGTTAACATAATAAATTACCAAAAGGAAAAAATAAAGGAAATCCATAACATAGCTGCCAACCTTAGGAACAAAAAAAAATTAGGAACACTATAAGCGACAAAATTATACGCACCCATACCTGCCAACTTAAAAAAATCTCAATGTGTAAAAAAAAAAACTCAATGTGTAATATAACGAACAACCAATTTATTTAATTATTTCAATGCGTCTACCCAATTAGTGAATGTTAAATTCAACACTAAATTGTAAATTTTTTATGTCTATTTTAAAACAGGAGGTACTTATTATTGAAGAGCAAAAAGCTAAGAAATGTTAAATTTTATTGACAAATAGAAGCAGAAAAAATTTAAAAATTAATAAAAGCTATTAATATAATAATCGTAAAACACACAATTCAAATTATTTCCAGTGTATAAAGCAAATTCAAGATTTTGCAAGAAAAGCATCAGTTGCCTTTTTTGCTTTTTTCAATGCACCTGTTAAAAATTTTCTTTGAATATTTTGCATTAAAAGTTTGTCAATATGCCTCTTCGCCCTCAGCAATAACTTTTTTCACAAGTAAAAAAAAAGATTGGAAACTAACAACCAAAATTAAATTTTTAAGGTAATGCTCGCCACACATGTCATTTAAATGAAACAATCATATCATTAAGTTGAGTTGCACATACGACGCGAATTCCACTACTAGAAATCTTTAAGCCCTGCCTACAAAAGAGGTATGACGCTTATCTACAGAAGGTTGTTCTCACTCCCATGATTTTGTGCATCAGTTTGATTCAGCAGAGACGGTTGCACAGTCGCGAAACCAGTTCCTAATACAAGAAACGCACTTGCGGCTCTTAACTGAAAGTAGCATTTTTTTTAAAAAGGATATATTCAGAAAAATAATTTAAAATGCGTGAATAACGGTGTATAAGCGTAGAGATGACTAGAAATGTATACATTTTATACGTAATGCGTAAAAGGTGGCAGGTATGCGCACCAATTACGAGAGTAGGACAAAAATTTAACTATTAAATAATAACATTAAGAGACATATATTTAAACACCTTACGTAAATTGATAAAACAAAACTTTAAACACCATTTTTTGTGGGAAATTTATAATAATATTTTATAATTATATAATAATTTAAAAACAACCATTACATTACCTATTAATGCATAATTCTTCTCCAAATTATAAAATACAGGTAAATAATAATCTACGTAAACAAATATTTCTGATGCAACTGTTGAATACTACAATACATTTTTTTTAAAAAAATAATAGTTGTTTAAGATTTAATTTAGTGAAATGATCAGCAATAGACATTGGAATAGTATTTTCCAATAAAAAGCTAGTAAAAATTTCTCTGGCACAATAATCACAGAAACACGCTTGCGGCCATCAGAACAAGAGACTGGTTTAAAAGCAAAAATACAGCAATTTTACAAAAATTCGGATTTTTATAAAAAATATCAGATTTGATTTGAAAATTAGGAACAAATCTGAAAAATTCTGAGCAGTTGACAGCTATGCCATAATAGCAAAATGATTAACAAATAGGTTTACACAGGGCTCCAACCATGTTTTTAAAATTAAGGAAAAATTCACACTTCCAAGAATGATTTATAAAAAAATATTCCTCAAATAACAAAGAATAAGCCACTCATTGATAACATGAAGTTACAGAAGTAAGAGAAACACATGATCAAAATTATGTTAAATAAAGAAATTAATTCCTTATACTCTAAGAAATATTTTGTATTAAAGCAAGCACTAATAACATCTAAAAAATTTAAACATGGCATTATAAATATGGAAATTAATAGATTATACCTACAATTATTTTTAAAAAATAAACTACAATTATTTTTAAAAAATAAACTAAGTTTCAAAACATATCAATTAAGCATGGAAAACTGAGACAAGTTGCAACCATCAGGAAGTTAACTAAAACTTACTTTTTAATATATATATTTTTGATATCATGGATACTATAATTAAAATAAAGAATTTATTTCTTCAATAATTTTAGAAAAGGTAAATCAAATTAAAAGCATTACAATTAAATTAAGTAGCAATGTATCAAATTTTAAAAATATTTCCAATATTCAACTTTAAAAATAAAGGGTAAACATGAAAAACAGAATTAAGGCAAAACTTAGTTAAGCAAGATAATACAGAAAAAAAGAGACCTTGTTACAATAATTGGTACAAGTGCCAAAATAAGGTTTTATGTCATGGAACTAATATAAATTTGATGAAGTGGCATGTTTAGCCTTCAAAATATCAGTATTACACTTATTATCGAAGCAATTAGCTTGTTTGTGACACTTCATTGATAGAATATTTTCGAGAGTTTTCGTTGACATAGATGGCCTAAACTGTGTTTTATTTTTCTTTACCAAACTAAATACTCTTTTGCACTCCCAGCTATGGGGTATGCATATGATTCTTAACAACACTCTTGATATTCGGTCAAACTTAAGAGGATCTTGTAAATCCTGCCGCAAACAATACCTCTTAGGAAAGCGGGGACCACAAATATATCAGTCCTTTTTGGAAAGCTACTTAAAGAATCTGCATATCGAATTTTTTTTCTCTAGTCTATGAATTAAAGTATAATCATATGCGTTATGTATGAAAGACCATCTCAGCATACAAGGAGACAAAATTTCTTTAGTAAGCTTATCTTTTAAAAACATTTCGAGCAGGGGCTAATAGTGAATTTATGTCCATAAATAAAATTATGAAGTTTACTTTTACCAAAAACTATTATCAACGCCTCTTTATCGATTTGTGCATAGCTTCTTTCTGCCAATATGAGTGTAGAAGAGCTATTGGCGTTTCACAACAGTTATCAAGAACATGACTTAAGACAACTCCTACACCAAACTGAAGTTATCAGTAATTTTTCATCGAACGGAGCTTAACAATTCCTTTAAACATCTAACAGTTTTATCATAGACCTCAGACCATTTCCACTTTGTAGCCTATCTAGAAGTCTATGTAATACTTCAGTTCTAATAGTTTTATCCTTTAGAAAACTATTATAATAATTTATCAAACCCAAAAACATCTGTAACTGGACCTTATTTTCAACTACCGGAAAAACATGAATCGCTTTTACTTTACTTTTGGAGGGGTGGATGCCCTTCGCATCAATACGGTAGCCTAAAAAATTTAATTTTTAAATTATTAGTTAATAATAATTAAATTAAGACTAAATAAGCATTTGTCCCCATTTGCCCATTTTTAATTATGAATAACTTGCATTCATAAATTTGGTAAAGATGAAGGCAATAATTGAAATAAGTAGGTATATTATGAATAAAATACAGTTAGATGAATACATTATAAACATATATACAGAATTTTTAAATTTTCAGTAACTATTAAGGACATTTTTATTAGGTAAAATGATGACTTTTGCTCAAAAGTAAATTCTTACACGGAGTCTGGGTTTCAAAATAGTCCTAGCATTTCAAGTGCTCCGCGTTAGTTCACAGAGGCAATGCATTAGTAGGCAAAGCGTTAAGGTGGCAGAGTAGAAATGGCCTCCCAGCATTTATCTAAAAAAAAAAAATTCTTTTTAGAATTTTTAAAAAAGGCTTGCAATATATATCCATTTGTGCAGTAAGAAAAAGCAATAAAACAGTGCATTTTGTTTTCATTTTCTGGACTATCAAACTCTAGGGGTAGAAATATTTAAATTTTAAGAATATAGAAAATATTTTAATTTTAAGAATTTGAAAATTAATATAGAAATTCTTTATGCAAATTGAAAACTTTTCTACACACAATTAAAATATTTGCTTATCTGAAGATAATGCCATGCAAAAAACAATGTCAAACAATTTACCATTATCTTACTTCATAATAGGGGCTACGTTAATTCCGAATTGAAGCCTTTTTACCTTATATGCAACTTGTGNAATTTATTTAAAATAAATTTTAAAACTAAGAAAAGAAAATATTAAAAGTATCAATAATTTAAAGCACTGTTTTTTAACTTTTAAAATCAATATAATATATATATAAAAATTAGTTGATTTAAATCAATGATTTTTTTTAAAAAAATCATTTGATTTTAATCATGATTTAAATCAAGCTGATTTAAATCAACGAACCCTGCTTTAAACATCTAACAGTTTTATCATAGACCTCAGACCATTTCCACTTTGTAGCCTATCTAGAAGTCTAAGTAATACTTCAGTTCTAATAGTTTTATCCTTTAGAAAACTATTATAATAATTTATCAAACCCAAAAACATCTGTAACTGGACCTTATTTTCAACTACCGGAAAAACATGAATCGCTTTTACTTTACTTTTGGAGGGGTGGATGCCCTTCGCATCAATACGGTAGCCTAAAAAATTTAATTTTTAAATTATTAGTTAATAATAATTAAATTAAGACTAAATAAGCATTTGTCCCCATTTGCCCATTTTTAATTATGAATAACTTGCATTCATAAATTTGGTAAAGATGAAGGCAATAATTGAAATAAGTAGGTATATTATGAATAAAATACAGTTAGATGAATACATTATAAACATATATACAAAATTTTTAAATTTTCAGTAACTATTAAGGACATTTTTATTAGGTAAAATGATGACTTTTGCTCAAAAGTAAATTCTTACACGGAGTCGGGGTTTCAAAATAGTCCTAGCATTTCAAGTGCTCCGCGTTAGTTCACAGAGGCAATGCATTAGTAGGCAAAGCATTAAGTTGGCAGAGTAGAAATGGCCTCCCAGCATTTATCTAAAAAAAAAAAATTCTTTTTAGAATTTTTAAAAAAGGCTTGCAATATATATCCATTTGTGCAGTAAGAAAAAGCAATAAAACAGTGCATTTTGTTTTCATTTTCTGGACTATCAAACTCTAGGGGTAGAAATATTTAAATTTTAAGAATATAGAAAATATTTTAATTTTAAGAATTTGAAAATTAATATAGAAATTCTTTATGCAAATTGAAAACTTTTCTACACACAATTAAAATATTTGCTTATCTGAAGATAATGCAATGCAAAAAACAATGTCAAACAATTTACCATTATCTTACTTCATAATAGGGGCTACGTTAATTCCGAATTGAAGCCTTTTTACCTTATATGCAACTTGTGTGATAATAGTTTGAGCTTCATAGGAAGCGTCATCAACCGACAATTGTAAATACGCCTGAGCCAAATCTATCTTAGCACAATAGCCTCCTTCTTTAAGATTCAAAAGATGATTTGTGGTGGGAATTTAAAAAGGATGTGCTCTCATTGCTTTGTTTACTGCGATTTTACAATCTCAGCACAAACGGACCTCACCTGACAGTTTAATCACTAAAACAACCGGTGTTGCCCCTTTTGGATTAGAGATGTCTTCAATAACTTTGAAGTTCTGTTAGAGTATCTTCGATTTCGAATACTTTAATTTATTATGAAAAAAATCCTCCACTAAGTTCTACTTTCTATGGAATCGCTCACATATAGGGAGGGGGGGGAGATTATTTACCTATGACCACACTTATGAATACATAAGAACAAGATGTTTCTCAAAAGCCCTGCAATGGTTAGTTTGAATTAGGAACTTAAAATGTTGATATGGGTACTAAGTTGTTCATTCTTATGTGAAAGAAAGGAAAGGGCAAAAGGCAGGATTAGTGTGTCAACTTTTCATCACTAATTTTACTAAAAAATTAGCCATTCAATTTGACTTTTTATAAACATAAATCATTTACTCTCTCAATAAAATTTAGGATCTTTTCCAAAATGCTCAGCACTTTTCAAATGCTTTTTTTTAAAAATATTCAAAAGAGAAAAAACTATTTACTATAAAGAATTATTCAATGAAATCCTAATAACTAATTTTTTTATAGTGATTTTGCACAATAAAAAAAAAATCGCATGAAATCATTCAAATTGCTTTAAAGCAAATTAGAGTTGAGAAAAGAGATAATAAACAATAGCTGTCCATGAAAAGCCTGGTATTTTCCATATGGGATTCATGAAAAGCAAAAATTCGACCATCGTAACCTGCAGGCACTTGTTAAAAATAATTATATCACCATTATGCACAAATTTAATTCACATTTAAACACAGGGATTTGTCTAGGTTTTTCTGCGAGATACCCATTTTGGACAGCCAGGACATAATTTGTGAAAAATTCGAAACTGTATTAAAAAATCAACACAAAAATGTGGATTTATAGTTTCTTAACGGATACAAGAATAAAATTTTAAGAAAATGTACATTATGAGTTGTTTAATTTCAGCCATTATTCCTAACTAGAAAAATTTTGTCCTTAATGAAAATAAGCAGATTTCTTCTATTTTAATGTGTATTTACAAAATATTCTGTTTAAAATGACTATTTTTAATCCAGAACTAAATTCTAAATTTTGTTCTAATTTAGTAAAAAGGTAAGAATAATAGTGCAATACTGTTCTGTTGGTGCATCATATTAATGGAAAAATGAAACAAAAAATATTGAGTGAGCGTGAAAGTTCTAATAGTTTTTTGGATAAGCAAATTTGCAATGGAATTAAAATCACACATGACATTCTAATGAGACAAATAGTTTGCCAATCAAACACGTAGATGCCACACATATTAGTGCAACTGGTCTCACAGGGCTAACCATGAAAAAAAAATAAAAAATCTGGAGTAGTGAGAAGGAGCATATAAGACATTGTTCTTTATTAGAGCTACACAAATAGCTAAACGAAAATTGAGTTATGTTAAAAAAAATTCAAGTGCATAAAGCAAATATAGGATTTAGGGTTCAAGAGCATGTTAAACATTGACAATACAAATTTTAAAAAAGTTATCTAAAGTGAAAAAACTACATCCCATGGAATAAAAAAGTTTAAAAGACCTGTTTGTGGAATGTTAAAACATAACATTTTCAATTTCAGAGTTATTTTCTTAACTGAGAAGAATAAATTTTTTTAGTTTACAGAATAATTATGCTAATAGAACACTGAAAATTGAAATCAACATTAAGAATGTTTTGCAATGCTATTGTATTTAAAATAAATCAGTATCAATTAATATTCCTGTATGAAAATATGTAAATTAAAATAGTATAAATTTTAAAACACCTTATTATAAAAATTTTAGTTATTTTAAAAGTTATTTTAAAAAGGAGGTTAATAATATTTAAACGATTACACAGTGCATGTTTACAGTAAAATATGTAGCACATCATTTAGAAATGTCGAATTTTGCAATTCTTACCAGAAAGATTAATTANAAATAGTATAAATTTTAAGACACCTTGACGCAAGTTATTTTAAAAAGGAGGTTAATAATATTTAAACGATTACACAGTGCATGTTTACAGTAAAATATGTAGCACATCATTTAGAAATGTCGAATTTTGCAATTCTTACCAGAAAGATTAATTAAACTAGGTTGATGCTGAATCGAAATTTTTTTTAAAAAAATATTCGCATGGGTATTAGTAGTTAACAGTATTTTCTTATACATAGTTCTAGAACAACTAAAAGTCTTATTACACAAAAGTTGTGAACATGAACATGGCACAACTAATGCAAATTAGGATTATTCTATTTTCCAAAATTTCTATACAATAACAAATAGGTATTTTAGATTTACGTGTAAGTCATAAACCAAACGTTGAAAATTTATGAAGAATACCGACGATAAGGGAAAAAGGAATTATCCTTTAATAACTTCCTAGTAAACATGTAAACAAATAAAACACACAATTATTTAAATAACAAACCTAAATTAAAACCACTGAAAAGTTCTAATCATTAAAGTTCTAGAGCTTTGCAAAAATATTTAACTAGTATAATAATGAATGAATGTAAGCCTACCAAAGCCTACATGGAAGAATAGCTTAAAAATGAAAGTTAAAGTGTTAAAGTAAGTAAAGTAAAGTAAAAATTCGCAATCGCAACGAACTATAGGGGGCGCTGTTGTATGAGACTAATACCTGCGATTTCTATATGAATAGTCTAGTCCAGTGATTCTCAACCACTGTG